GTGCAAAACCTTGCACATTCTTTATAAATATTTCATTCCCTTCCAGCAGCAAATTTCCTGGTGTCCAAATGCTGGTGTGACCATCTTTCTGTGTTAGGCAGTCTGTCCCCGCACAGCTGTGGGGTGGAGGAGACAGCTCCCACCACCTCTCTTCTGGTACCAGAGAGATCATGGAGTACATGCCTGAAGAGCGAGAGGAAGTTGGGGGAGAGAGATGACCATCCATATTTCTGAAAGTGGTGGTCACGGCTCAGATCCCACTGGGCTGACATGGGGGACGCTTCAGAGGATCCTTCACAGGTTTAAGCTTTGCAAACTGTGACATGCTATGTAGGTCTGGGCAGGTCACTTCTAACCAGGAGTTGATGGGCCTCGATTGCCAGGGTTCTGAAGGGATCCATAGACAGTTCTTGAACACTGGAGCGTCAGGAGTGAGGCTGGTCACAATTGCCCCTTGCACAGGCTGTCTTATTCAGCTTTTTCAGTAGGAGAGCCTGCTAGACCCTCACAGGATCTCTAAGTAAAGTGCTGCTCAGGGTGGGAACAGGCTGGAGGCGCCTCCTACCTGTTGGCGCTCTTGCTCTCAGGAGATTTTGCAGGAGCTGGAGAGTGCAGGGACCTTGTCCAGGAGCACTGTCTCCTGTCTTTGCTGCTTCTCAGGCAGGGCCAGACCCACCAGATGTGGGAGTTTTATTACTCTAGGGGAAGAAAGAACATCTTTATTTTGCTCAGTGTGCTGGTTGTGGCAGAGGGATGCAGCTTCTTCTCTGCATAGCCTCCCAAGGGACAGCTCAGAGAGCCCCACTGAGCACCGCTGAGGCCCCATGACCACCAGACTAATGGGGATCCTTTGTGCAGTGAGGCATCCCTCTCAAAGCACCCAGGGCCTCCTCTGTGCTGGTCCCAGGAACCCACAGAGTGCAGGTGGAACTCATCTTTGCCCTCCTGAAGCTCACAGTGTGCAGCATGGCTAAAGAAAGTGGGAGAAAGAGAAGCCCCCTCCCCCATGACAGTTGTCCGGACCACAGAGGCCTGCTGCCCTGTGTGCTGGAAGAGCTTTGATCTGGAGGGTGACTCTTCTCATGGATCTGACTTTCCACCTCATCTCCGGGATGGAAGGAGGCACAGAAATGACCAGCTGGGACTGCTCCAGTGAAAGAGCAGGCAGTGGACCAGTCCCACCGCACCCATGCATTGCTGGCTGAGGGTCCCAAGAAACACTTGGGTGCTGTGAGGGCAGCTCCCTGTCTAAATGTCTAAATGCAGCCTGAGGTGGGGGCTCAGCTCCCAGTGGGCCTTGGCACCTGGTTGCAGTTCCCAGCTGCAGGTGAGGGTGCTGGTGAACCGGAGATCAGTTATCAGTGGGGATGCAGAGTCTTGGGGATTCGGTGGTGGTGGTGTGGGTTCTTGATCCTCTCTGCTTCATGTCTCATGTTCTGTTTCTATTGTAAGTAGGCATGGTAGGCAGTCCCAGCTTTTTCTCCCAGTTGGGGTCTTTGCAGGGCTCTCTCACCCTGCAGGGTTAATAGATGGGTATTTATATATCCTTCCCCAAAGTGCAGGTGGGATGGAAGGAAAGCAATGAGGGAGGAGGGAGATGTGGTACCCAGCACCAGTGGAGAGGCATTATATGCCTGGTGACCAGCTCCTGGGACCTATCGTGAGTCGATCTGTGTTGTGAGTCTGTTGGACCAACCAGAAGAGGCCACAAGGACAGTTGATGTAGCTCATACAGGAAGGTAGAGCATAAGACAGTGGTGAGAAAGCTGGGGGTGCCTTGCACAGCCCTCTTCTTTATGGAAGGCTTGAAAGTTCTACAGTTCTTCTCTCACTTCAGACAGAGCCATCCTGTTCCCGGACCACTGGGCTGCTAGGAAATCTATTAATGTGGCAGGTCCTTAAACTTGGTGGTGTTTGTCTCCCATGCTCTTCCCAGCATGCATTTCTCCAAGGCACATTGTCAGTGTAATGGACAAGTAAAATGTCCCATAAGGTGTGAAGGTGATCGAACTCTTCCCTTCCACAGTACAACCAAGCAGGAAAGGGCTGTCACCTTAGATGGGATACACAGTGCAAGTTTATTGCCTTTTAGGTCATGTGAAGGCAACTGCTTCTGATTATCATTACTTACGGGGTGGGAGTGGTGCTGGGAGGCAGGGGAGCCTGGCATCTGGTGTTTAGTTTTTGACCCAGAAAATGCTGTGTTGATTTTTTCCCAGTAAATACATCCCATCAGGAACTGTTAGCATTATAGCATATTAAGTTTCTAACATCTACTGCTATTCTCCAGCATCCATCTGGCTTTTGAATCTGCTCTGCAGGTGAGCGATGTGGCGTTGCAGTGGGTTCCCACCTGCATGTTTTATATTTACCTGCTTGTTTACCAGGGTGTGCTCTGTTCTTTCCTGAAGACCTGAGTTTCTGTCTGGAGTCCTCCCCTCAGGCAGAACATTTTTTTTTAGTAATCACTCCATGCAAGTTTGCTGATGATGCATTCTCCTACTTGCTAAAGTGCCTTTATTTTTTTCCTTTGTTCTTGAAGGTTATGTTCTTTGGACATAGAAATCTGGGCTAACGATGTTTCCTTTTAACTCTTCAAAGATGGAGTTTCACTGTCCTCTGGCTCCATTGTTCATGCTCAGAAGTCAGTGGCCTTCCTGTTGTCTGCTGTGTGTACATACATTGTCCTTCTGGCTGCTTTCCAGGAAATCATTTTTTGGCTTTGTGCAATTAGACTCCAATGTGTGCTTTTCTGTTTTTATCCTGTTTAGGGTTCAGTGAGTTTCTTGAATCTATACATTTGTCTTTCACCAAATTTGGTGAATTTTTATTTATTATTTCTTCTGTTTCCCCACTCCCCCATCTCATTCGATCTTTCTTTTCCTTTTGGGGCACCTTTTGATATTATTCTCAGATCCCCGTGGGTTTGTGTATTTGTTTTTTTCTCAATCTTTTTTCCTCTTTGCCCTGGCTGCAACTTTGTGTCATGTCATTTTTCCTCTGTGGCAAGGGGTGTGCGGTTCCGGAGGGTAGGCTCAGTGCTGGCTGAGGTGGTGGGACTGAGGGCCAGAAGTGGTGAGAAAGACCCCTAGAGGCAAATGTGCAATACCATCTCTCTTTTGAGAGTGTGGCCTGAGGCAGCTAGTTCATGGCACATGCTTGTGCCATGGAAAAGACAGACAGATTGAGCCTTATGTGACCAGGCCCCAGCACAGGAGGGTACCGTGGTGGTGCAGAGGACTTGGGTCTGGTAGGTTCTTACTGTGTCCTGGTCTCAGCAGATGTGCCAGCAACTTACCTGGACACACTGTCATCTCATGGGTCAGGTGAAGGAACCTGGGTAGTGAGAAATCCTCTGAACTCAGGGTAATGAAGCTAAGTCAGTGACATGAATGTGTGATTTGGGATAACAAATGAACCCTTTTTGATAGGGCAGGAGGTTTACGACTGTCCTCCAAATTCTCAGTCCAAGTGTTGTTCACAATCTGGGATTTTTCTAAGCAATATTCCTCCTAGAACTTGAACCAGCATTTACTAGGTCTTGTGTTCTTTTTGCCATATTGTGAGATCCTGTCCTGGCCCTCACATCATCGCTGGCCAGCTGAGTGACCCAGCAAACAACTTTACCTTTGTAGCCCATCATCCTTGTTCTGAATGTGTGCAAATGGGGGCCCTACTGTGCACAGTTGCTGAAGCAGGAGGAGGGACAGATGTGAAGTTGCATTAGGAGCTTGCAAAATTCCTATGCACACAGGTCTTCAGGAGCTGTGTGTTTCCTTTTTTCTATAAGGCTACATCCACACCGTGGTGCAAATTTATGTCCTCCTATACTAGGGAAATATTTTACCTTTTAGGTATTATTTAGATGTAGGAGACAGCAGTGAATAAAACATTAAAACCCTTATCCTCATGGTATTTACATCTCAGTCTCACCCTGTTATTACATGTCTCAAGGCTAAGTCTTGGTTTTAGCCTCATTCTTGGCAGCTAAAACCTCTGGGCTCAAATCCCAAGTCCGAAGAAGTGATTACCCTACTATTAAGTCACTAACTCAGTTTTCCTGTCAGCAGTGTCGGGGTGATTACACTTATTTTATAGGGTTATTAGGCCGTTATACTGAGTGACGTGTATTCAAAAGAAGTCGGCAGAGAGCCCGGCACACAGCAGTCATTCTTTGAATATTCACTCTTCATGTGGATCGTGGTGGGCTTACTTAATTTTCTCCCTTGGGCTTTATACTTTTGCAGTTTTCTTAGGTGGAAATAGGCTGGTTTCTTTTAAAAACTGTGGATTGCTCTAACAACACTGAAATGCTCCTGAGGTCAAAGCACAAGTGACATTTCTTGGTTGAGTCTGCTCTCCTTTCTACGTTATACAGCACAGGCTGAGCATCCCTTATCCAAAACGCTGGGCAGCGGAAGTGTTGGGGATTTTGGATCCCCCCACCCCTGCTCCAGCTTTTGGGATATTTGCAAATACATAAAGATACACCTCCTTTGGGTTAGGACCCAGACCTAAACATGAAATCTATGTGTTTCACGTCCACATTGCACACTTTGCCTGAAGGTAATTTCATACAATATTTTAAGTGCTTTTTTTTTCTCTTTTTTGGCACTGGGAATTGACCTCACAACTTCACGCTGGTGATGCTGTGCTACTGAGCTATATCCCCAGCCCTCATTTTAAGTAATTTTTTGTAGGGAAAAAGTTTCATGGTGTGGGGTTTTCTGCTTGTGGCTCATGTTCGCAGGGAAAACGCTTCGGATGTTGGAAGCTTTTGGATTTCAGATTAGGAATGTTCAACCTGTGTTCCACCCTCGAACGCATGACCTTGTAAAACACAAAACAAAAACCAAACCGTGGCCCTCTTTAGTTCTTCTCTCTGTCCATGGGACGCAGGAGTCCCCTAACCTCCCAGCCAGAGTGCCTGTTACAGCCCTGCACAGCCCAGGCCCGCAGGACCACTCTTGATGACTGCCGCTGTTGTCTCCCTCCTGCAGGTTACGGGCACGCAGCACCTGGCACCGACGCGGGCAAGGCCTTCTGCATGTTCTACGCTGTGCTCGGCATCCCCCTGACGCTGGTCATGTTCCAGAGCCTGGGCGAGCGCATGAACACCTTCGTCCGCTACCTGCTGAAGCGCATCAAGAAGTGCTGCGGCATGCGCAATACCGAGGTGTCCATGGAGAACATGGTGACCGTGGGCTTCTTCTCCTGCATGGGCACGCTGTGCATTGGGGCGGCCGCCTTCTCTCAGTGTGAGGAGTGGAGCTTCTTTCATGCCTACTACTACTGCTTCATCACGCTGACCACCATCGGCTTCGGGGACTACGTGGCGCTGCAGAGCAAGGGGGCCCTGCAGAGAAAGCCCTTCTACGTGGCCTTCAGCTTCATGTACATCCTCGTGGGGCTGACCGTCATCGGCGCCTTCCTCAACCTGGTGGTCCTGCGCTTCTTGACAATGAACAGCGACGAGGAGAGGGAGGAAGGCGAGGAGGGGGCGGCACTCCCAGGCAACCCGAGCAGCGTGGTCACCCACGTCTCGGAGGAGGCGCGGCAGGAGCCCCCGCAGTACCAGGGCGAGGGCGGCGATCTGCAGTCCGTGTGCTCCTGTGTCTGCTACCGCTCGCAGCCGCAGAACTTGGGTGCCACGCTTGCCCCGCAGCCGGTGCCCTCCATCTCCTGCAGAGTTGAGGAGATCTCGCCAAGCACACTGAAGAATAGCCTCTTTCCGTCCCCCATCAGCTCGGTCTCTCCCGGCCTGCACAGCTTCGGGGACAACCACAGGCTGATGCGTCGTCGGAAGTCCGTCTAAGTGTGGGGAGGGAATAGAACGGAAGAGTCATTTGTCATGCGGCTGTAAGTTCCATTGGCCCAACTCGTCTCCCCCTCCTTATTTATTTATTATTGTTATTATCTTTTGTTATTTTTACGGTCATCGCCATTACTTTCTCTCCTCCGCCCTCTCTGGGTTTCATTTCTTTCTCCACCTTTCCAGCCAGGCAGAGCAGCCCAAGGGGAAACTAGAGGCCTATCCTCTGAGACTCGCATCTGAGCATGAAGCATGGATTTCTTCCGTCCTCCCCAGCAAAGGATGCCTTACATTTCCCCTTGCCCCTCCCCTTTCTCTGGGGCCGCTTTCCTAGGACAGGTGAGAGACCAGACCACCGAGGCAGAGCTGAGAGGATGCCCACCCCGAAGCTGCTCACCAGGCTGAGCCCCTTTGGCCACTGCCCCTGGCAGTGTGTCCACCTAACTCCTTGTCTTTTCCTCCCCAAGGACTGGGTGGCCGTGTGTCCACATGTGCAGTGTGAGTGTGTGTGCTTCTGTGTGCGGGTGTTTTGTGTGACAGGATGAAAGCATCAGGAGTTCATTTTCTTTCCCCTGCACACAACTGAGTTTTTGTTAGTAGCCTGCTTTGGGCTATTTCCATACACAACAGGAAAACCCATGAGGGTTTTAACGTATCATCTTGCCAAATTAAGCATGTTCCTCAGGCAGGGTTTACCCCAGATGTGTCCTGACCACAGTTTCAACACTCTAGGTTCTAAATTATGTTAACATTTTTTCAGTGGGTGTGTGGGCAAGAAGACATTGAGGACTTCAGTGTGCCAGTTTAAAAAATTTAAAAAGCATGCACTTTGTAAAACTGGTATGCTTCATTGACACAAGAAAGCAAATGGAACAATCAAAAGCCACTAATATTAATTTATTAAAGACATGTTTAATTTTAATCATCTCCAGTTCCAACAATTTTCCATCCGTGGAATTGTCAGGAGAAACTGGAAAACTGTTGGAACCACAGAGCACCTATTTTATTATTTCCTACCAGTTGATGATGACGATGACGACGATGATGATTTTGTGTAGCACCTACTATGTGAATAGAATTATAGTTTTGGAATGCTTGGATGAGAATGAGTATTAGTATGTGGATGTGGTTTCCTAATAAAAAAGCGACAGGGCATTCCTTGTTTAAAATATATATATTTCAAGAAAGATTGTCTCTAATTGCATTTGATTTGTAAATAGGGGAAAGTTCACGTTGGTCTCAGGAAGAGTGTAGAGGCTGTATCTTGGCCTACCGGGAACTTGCCAATCTCAGGGGATGCTTTTGTCTAGATAGTGGAGAAATTCCTCCTTGCTCTCAATAGGGGTGACCCCAAAGGGAAGACTTCCTAACCTCTTAGGGGACAGTTTAGGCTAAAGAATATGGCACATTGTAGACCCTTACACTGGCAGGAATAAGGGACAGTTTGACCTCCACATTCACTGAGGGGACTTTAATTTCTCTCATCATCATCCCTGCCATTTCTAAAAGTCACCCATTCACTCATCCCCCACTCCCCTTTCCTACACCGGAAGTTCCTGCTCCTGGACCGAATGGGCTTTGGCTGCACTACGCAGAAGGAGCACGTTTACTGGCCTCCGGGATTTCCTAAAGGAGACAACACCCAAATGCCACCCGTCCCAAGTATGTGGGCCATTGGGCTGAAACCAGGAGCATTCAAGACTCCTCTGGAAAGGCTATGCATGCACTTTAACGCTACACCCTGTGTTGAAATATCCCCTTCGTCTAGGACACAGGACCTTCGGAAAGAGTCTGTGAACCTTAGACTCTCTTGGCCAAAGTTGACAGTTATCTTCAAGGTTTTTATCAGTTCACTGGTTTTCCAGATCTCGTTTTATGGCAAGCCCTACTTAGGGCTCTAAAGATGTCCAGAGGATAGAAGTGGTTGCTCTTGTTGAATATTTTCCTCACTCTCAAAAGAGTGTTGGCTGTAGGAGGTCATACATAGGTATAAAAATATGAATGCATATTTGCAGAGTACTTTATGCTTTGGAGGAGGCTGCCTGGAATATGTGTAGGAGTTCTCTGGAAAACCATTGTAAGATTTGCCCTCAAATGGGGGGTGTGTGTGATAATCTTTGATCTATCTGCACATGACACTGAAAGGGTGAAGAATTTTCTCAACAGTACAGAGCTGATCCTTGACAGAAATGAGACCATAGTCTCAGTTCCAACACCAGAAAGGTCCAACATGCTGACTCCTCCACATTAAGGTCCCAGCTTAGCCCCTTCTATGAGGGACTCTGCTTCTGTGTCTCCACAGGGATGCATGCTAGGCCCCTGGAGTCATTCAGAGTGACATTGGCTCCACCCTGCCTTCACAGCTGGTTTCCCACTAAAATGCCTGCGTAAGGTGGTCATGCAGTGATCATTCTGCTTGGATGCTTCATGTGACAGGGAGCACCTCTCTTCCCAGGGAAACATAGAACATATTCTCTATGTTTTCACAGAGTTGACTCCCTTCTTTGTAGCAAAGTAGGGTGAACACTTTCTCCTCTGGTAATGACAATTTAAGTAGTGGAGGCAACTTACACTTTGTCTTGGTTCTGTGTCCCTCTGGTGTCTTCTGCTCTTTGCTGCTAGCTCAGCCCTCCGAAGGATGAGCACCAAGTGTTCTTTTCCAAGGTTACATTTGCAGTGTGTAGGGCATGGTTTCCTTCCACATGGAGTGGGTCTTTTACTCAGACGATCTGTCTGTTTTCCCTTGTGGGACCTGGCCAAGGAGTCCCCTGGGCACATCCAGTAAAAGCTGTGATGTGAGGGCAGGAGCAGTTGAGATCTCCAGGGATAATGACTCTTGACATGATAGGAGGGGGACATCTCTGCTGGAGCCACCACAGTCAGTGGTTGAATCAGGGAGCCTCCAAGCCAGCAAAGCTCAGCCTACATCATCTTGTAGATCTCCCTTGTCTTGAGGGGAGACCAAGTTTCAGAGAGGTGAACATTGTACGAGGTCACGTGGCCAGAATTTGGGTCTTCACACTTGTTACTCTTTCTACTGTTGTCCTGGCTGCTTTTGTCGTCGCTGTTGTGTACAGCCTTCCAAAGATTCCTTGTTGCTGGACTTTATCGTGTTTCTGGACTCTCTGTGCACTTAGTACTCTCCTTTGGCCAGGTGAACTTATACCCTTTCTCCACTTAACCATGCCCATTCAGCCAGAGCAATGAAAGCACACAGGTTGTGTGACTGACTGGGCTTCAGCTTCTGTCAGGACGAGCTCAGGAAGAGTTGCGTTCTATCAGAAACACAAGAGGTTGCCTCATCTTCCAGAAGTTAACATGCCTTGTATATACTTAACGAGATTTCTGACTCTCACTTGAACTCTTTTCCACTAAGAGATCTCCATCTTTACTCCATCAAAGACAGGAAGAAGGTGGGGAGTGCTATTGATTATCCTGGAGCCCTAGGCTCATTGCTTTATAGAGAGCATCCCGTTTTGATCTTCACAGTGCCATACCATGGAGAAGGTACTGTCTTGACCATCAGCCTGTTACACACTTTACTTAGAAGTGAGCCAATCTCTCTGGGTTCTGCGATTCCAGGATAGTCCCAGAGCTGTGACCAGCTCTGTTTTTTTCACTTGCACCACTCTGTCATGAAACAAAGGCAGCAGCCTCAACTCCCAGCAAGCTCCCTGAGCTCTAAATTTGATTGCTCTCTTTATGGGGCTATTGAGTTCCCAATGCACATTCCTGGTTGAGAGGGTGGCCTGCATTCAGGCACGAGCATAGCAGATCATTTGCTATCTAGGAGTTCCCTGGATCTCTCATCTTTCCAGGGGAGGAAGTAAATGGATGCAGAGTGCTACCTGGGAGAGCCGCCTGGGGAGGTGCTCATTAGAAGCCCACCCTGACAAAAGGGGAGCAGGATTCATCTCAGCTCACCTGTTTGTTCTCTGTGCACAGGGACCTGATTGAAAATATCTGAAAAGTAACTAAGAACCCACAGCTAAGTCTCAGCAGATCATTTTTCTCTGCCTTATCCAGATCTGAAAGCCCAAGGGGTCCTGTATCCCAGCACAAGCACTTGCAGCTGGAAGGTGGAGAGAACAGAGTTAGAGAACTCCATTGCCTGCGTGCATTGGGTGGAAGAGGTGAAAGCAATCACTGATCTCTAAGGCTTCTGGCCTCTTTTCTTTCATATTCTTTTTATAATGAACCCTAACTGAGGTGCCCAGGAAGGGCAAGGTGTGAGATTGGAGATGTATTCCAGGATGTGTCCTGCAATTGGCATCCGAGTCACTGTCATCTATGAGTGTGGCTTAGTTCTTAAGTGGTGAGACTTGGGGCTCACAGTTGTAAAATATTTTTTTTTCTGCAGAGTCATGGTCTTCGTGGGATCCTGGAAGCATCCCAGGCAAGGAAAGATCGGCAGCACATTGTGTCTTGCCTCCCTGGGTTCCTGGAAGTCATTTCACTCCCAGGGCCTTGGTAGCTTTTTCTTTAACACAGTGAGGAAGCATAGGTGGGGACTGTGGGTACTTAGCCCAAAAGGAACTTGACCTACTAAGACATTTGGCCTGGATATTCTAATCACTGGGCATCTTTGAAGGTTGAGCCCTCAAAAGGAAAGCCAAAACACTTTCATTTGGCAGGAGACTGGGAGCTGGGAAGATGAAGAGACACAAACAATGGCAGAAAGCAATGGTCACCACATGAACCAAGGCCTGGTGCTCTCTGGATTCTCCAGGGTGCTGAGCATTAGTCCATTTTGTGTGGTTCTCTCATGACCACACCTTGATAGAGGCTGCTGCTCCAGCAAAACAAAAGTCTATGGTCACAATCCCCCTACCAAGTCTGTTTTCAAAATCCCAGAGTTATAGAAAAGTTGAAGGAATAGTCTGACGAGCCTATCCTCACTCCCAGACCCACCAGCCTCAACACTTTACCACATTCTTACCTTACCCCCTCTCAACCCTCACTCAGAGACATTTGGAGGAAAAAGTGTCATGTCTACAACTTTTAGATGGTTCAGCCAAAGAAAAAAACTGTATATCTCTCATGAACAAGTGCATTCTCCTACATAGTGCCAGTGTTACACCTAAGAAATTTAGTATCATATATTATCTAATATAATCTGTACACAAAGATCCCAAGTTTTCCCCAAAATATCCCGCAGAGCTTTTTGTGGATCTAAGATGCCATCCAAGAACATGTCCCAGACCTGCTTGTCTTGTTGTCCCAGACCCCCCCAATTGAGGGCATCTCCCTCACTGTTTTTGTCTCTTGATGTTGATATTTTTGAAGAGTCCCAGCCCTTAGTCTTGTAGAATGCCCTGCTTTTGTCTGCTTGTTCCCTCAGGTTGAGGAACTGTTGGCAAGAAAATACTGTAGTTGCTGTTGTGTAGCTATGATTTATGCACTTGATGTCTGTCTCTCCGGGGACCTCTGTGGTTACTGCTTTCGTTGTGAATAAATAAGTCATATTAAATGTTGTTTTCCTCTGTTAGGGGAACTAACTACAGCTTCAAGAGAGGTGTCCATGGATGCTGGGTCTCACAGCTGAAGCCCAAACAGGGGCAGGCTTTGGATTTCTGCCCTCTCCCTGGGACCTCTTCTGTGCGGGGCGAGCATCAGCACACTGGCCCCAAACATGTGTGGGGATGGTCCAGCTACACGCAGACAGGAAGCACAGACCAATGCTTGTGAGGGTCCCTGCAAGCCATTCAGGCTGCCTGGGCCCCTACCAGCTCCAAGAGTGGCAATGCCTACCACGCCCTCCTCCTCATTCATAACCCCAAGATGTGGTCTATTATGCCACTGCCTCTGGCTATTAAGGGTTGCAGGTGTGACTTGTCTTTGGCATGCTTACCCTGGCAAGTTCTCGGGCACAGCCCATTCTGTGATGGTCCCATGAAGCACACTGGCTATGGCTGTCACCTTTCCTTTTGATCAGGAAATTGCCCACATGGGTCCCACTGCCACTCAGCAGGTTCTCCCTGCCACTTAGCCGAGCACAGTGGAGATGAAGTATCTCACTGCTCCTTTCAAAGTCTCTCCTGACCCGATGGCCCCTGGCGGGTTAGTCATGTCCTCCCCTTGACTCCCCCAATACTCGCTTTTTCATGGATTGACATACTTGGAAGCAAAATTCCTTGGTCCGTAGCTTGTCTTAGGAGCAGTGAGTGTTGGGCAGCGGGGAGGATGACATTGTGCAGGAAAGAGACAACCAGATTTCCTGCATCTACACTGCCATCATGGGGGCATGCTTGCATGTGCCTGAATGGAAATAGGGTAGTTCAGTGCAAGTCTCCAGAAACCACTCCAGATCCACGTGATGTAAACCTGTCATAGACTGTTTGCACGTGCCTGGCGGCCATGTGCAAAATAGGGCCAGGTGTCGTCCACAGCTAGGCACTTCCTGTAAAGTGGTGGCCAGTACATCTTCACCTTAGACAGGTATGCTTGGGACACTGTGCCCTGCAGATGATGGGCCTGTGATGGGAATGTCACAGGGGAACTAGGTCAAGTCAGTGCCATTGTCTTGTGGCAGTGCATTTGGTGGAGGCCGAGCAGTTGTGGGGATGTGCCGAGTGAGTGACACAGGTCCTGCCTTTCAGCGGCACTGTACTGCTTCTTCCCATTCAGCTGCCCCTGGAGAGACAGGATCACGTGGCTGCTTGTCCTCATGGAACAGCAGCATGTGGAGGGAGAGCCACCCAAGCCTGGCATTTTAAACACCTGGCTCCTCCCTCTGCCATTCATGGGTGGGTGATGGTTTTGCTCCTCGAAGCTTTGGTTTTCCCATCTTTGAGTTGGAGGTTATGAATTCTTCCTATGCCCAGGGTGCCTGGGAGAACTAGCTCTGATGGCACCTTCTGGGTACCTGCTGTGTGCCAGACACTGTGCTAGTGCTCCCTTTATTTCCTGGGGAAGCATGTCCCCTCCACCCTCAGGGGCCACTTGGCCCAACTCACCTTTGCTTTGCTGGGGCCCACACTACTTAGGGACTTGTAGTCACCCACACGATACAGTGCTGCACAAATGAAGCCATCACCACCCCCTGCACATGTGCTCCACTTGCTGGGGTTGGGGGTGGCAAGGGCACTGCACTTGGGAAATGGGCTGGTGGGGCTCAGGAAAGTGGTAAAACTGGACCTCCAAGCCAAGTGTTCTGACTGCAAGTACGTGCTGATGGTGGTGGGTGGAAGGAAGGGGTGCTGGGGCTGGGTCTCTGAGTGCAACATGAAGAGGTCATAAGGGCATGACTCAGGAGGGAGAGGGGTGATACCTCCAGGTAAATCAAGTTGAGGAGGGGATTCATGCTGGGGAAAGGGTTTCGGATGGGCAGGTTTTGGATAGGAGAAACTTTCACGCCAGCCAGAAGAGTATTCACTGAATCTGCTAGTTCCTCCTCTGTTCAAAAGCCTAGCATTGTGCTAAGTACCAAGGATAAAACTGAGGTATGAGCCATGTTCAGACTAGGCCTCTGATCACTATTATTAACCATGCAGACCTTTGTTCTCAGGCGTCTCTTCTCCATATCAACGGATCTCAGAGGGCACATGGAGTCCGACGGTAGTGAGTTCTCTGGCACGACGGGCAGGCTGGCAGGCCCACGCTGGGGCAGGCCTTCCGGAAGGATGAAGGGCTTCCACTGGACCCCTCCAGCCTGCACTTGTGAACCTGGGGAGGTCGCCCCTTCCTGGGAGGTAGATCTGAGAACAACCTAGAAGACGGCGATGCTCAAACCTGTGAACGTGCCCATCCCACGGAGCCTTCCTTTTCCATCTTCGAAGGAAGGACCTGGAGGGGTGGGATTGCTGCAGAAGCATGAGGTGGACCCATTTCTCACATACTGGTGTGAACAACCTTCTGGGAATCTTCCTCCAGTGTTTTCCCGGTTTTGTCTGAAAACAAGTGGGGGACAAACAAGTCTGTGGGAATCTGGGAGTGGTTGGCCTTCTGGTCACCTGCCTTCTTTGACATGGTGACAGTTATTGCAGGATAAAGAGCTACTTGGGAGGACAGAGGAGGGGAAATTGGGGCTAGAGGAGAGGAAGAAGTGGTCAAGGGGCAAGGAGTCTTATTTGGGAAGTTTTTAGTCTTCATAGCTTCCCATTTAATTTTTGGGACCTCACTCTGGTCTCTGAAGATTCTAGTCGGGTTGCTTGGAGACCTCAGTCATCCAGAGAGTGTGGTTGATTTTAAGGAGGTCTTGTAAGCTTCAACCATCAGCCATGGGCTCTGAAAACAGAAGCTGTCTGGCAGTGGGTGATGGTCAGGTTGTGTAGCCATGGCATCACTTCTTGTCCTGTTCTACAAAAGATGGTATGGCCAGGTGAGGTGAAGATGTCTCCAAGACAGGTACTGGTGGTAGATGAAATCAGTGTCAGTGTACACCACACTCTTTGTTGGCATTTTGGTGGGAATAGCTGGGTGTGTGTGGGGGTGGGGAGCACAAGGCTAAGTCCTCCCAGGAGGGAGCCAGGATCCTAAGTTGGGACTAACTTGTCTCCCCTGGGCATCTCCCATTTTCCCAGATGGAGTTGACTTACAGACTTCTCTCACAAAGGAACCATGTCAGCTCCTTGAACTCTAATTTTGATGGGTCTCCTCAAAAGTTGGGCTCTAGTAATCAGCATTAGCCAGATACTTGAACAGTGGAGTGAGGGTGAACGTGGGTGGGGCACTTGCCAATGAACCAAAGCCCACCTTTCCCTGAGGTAAATGATTACTTCCCTTCACCTAGGAGGGTGATTTAGCTCCTGAATGTGAGCTATAGTGGTGGGGCCTGGAGCTCCATAGGGCTCCTTCCTTTATGCAGCAGTTGCTGGTGCACACACTGGTTTCACACTTCTTTATAGCACAGCTCTGGGTCAACCACAGTGAGGCCATGCTGAGGCTAGATGGTCATTAGGTTATGTGCTTCTGAGATCTTGCAACAGAACAGAAGGTGAGCAGAACATGTACTGAATCAGAACATGCCTCAATAATTGTTCCATTTTCTTGAGCTGAATCTTAGAAGTTGGGTAGAGGACCAAAAATCTAATGAAAAGAAAAATACAATTAGTGGGAACCCAATGAAGCAGAACCCACAATTAGCAAGATTTCTCTATAATTTGATGGCTCCTCAGAGAAGCACATACTCCTGAAAAGGGCTAATTATATATTTGTTTATTCAGTCCACAAATAGCATTGTGACAGCTGGTTTTGGGCTGGGAAGGCCCTTACGAGGTCATCTCAGCCCACCCCCGTCTTATCAGAAATCTCCACCTAATAGACTCTGCATTGAGCTAGGTGACACTGGGGACATCACTGAGCAAGATTTAAGTAGGGAAACAGATTAACCCTAGCTGGGAGATGTGAAGATATCTTGTTATTTCCAAAACATTGATGAGAAGGTTTCCAATTAGAAACACATAGGAGACAAGGGACAAAGACATCAAAGATGATAAGCAGAATTTAAATCACCAAATTGATTAACTAGGAGAAAGAATTTCTAGTCTATTCCCATAGGCTAACAAATTGCTGATAATCCCTCTTAGATATGCAGTTCTAACTTCAGCTAAATGTGTGTCCTGCAATTCATGATATCAAAAAGAAAGAAAGAAAATCATTTCTGACCCACAGGCATAGAAATTAAGCTTGAATTAGTGTCAAACTAATATTCATCAAAGCAATTGGCCTATACTCACAAGGGGTTCATTCTGGGGGGAGGTGTGGAAATGGGGATGTGGACCTTCATGTAATCATTTGGGGTGTGTGTGTGTGTGTGTGTGTATGTGTGTGTGTGTTTGTATTTTTTGGATATCTCTGAGTCTCTGTATTTGTGTGTTGTGCTTTTGTAGGTTTTTTTGTTTTTGCATTGCTGGACATTAGTGTGCAGTGCGGTAACAGGACCAGGACTTTGTTTGGATGGTGAAGCTGCTGGAGGCGTGCCCAAACTCACCTTGGTGGTGACAGTAGTGGGGACATGGGTGGACCCCAGGACAGTTCTACAAGAAATGGAATCCAGCTACCCCAGGGACCAGTGTGGCCAAGCTTCCAGAGGGTGGCATGGTTTGTCCCAAGCTCCTCACAAGGCCATGATTTCCCACCGTGGTGGGAAAGTGGATTTGGATGTCCAGTCCAACTGAGGTGGAAGCCTGAGGCCTTGATGCAACTGGACAAGACTTGCCAAAAACAGCCATTCCAATGTAACTACAGACATGCAGACTCAAAGAAGCCTTTACTGTCATGCGTGTTCCTGTGCTGTCCTCTCTGCTTTGGTCCGTGCAGAGAAGGCAACTTCACAAATGGCCTTAGGATGCCATTCTGAAGCTTAACAGAATGCCACCACCATCAATTGATTATCAGGTGTATTTATTATTGTAGCTTTCTTGAAAAATGAGAAAACAGAAAATCCTGTGTCACCAATGTTTACATACCTCAGTAGTCATCCAGCTTCTGTAAAATGCATACCTTGTGCAAGGGCTTGCAGTTTTCTTT